ACTTTTCGAATATAATGCAGACCTTGACTTTGGAACGCCGGTGAGGATTACATTTAGACAGAGCCGCTAGATTTACAACATGAGATCTCAGCTGCAAAAATCCCAAGATAATGTTTTGGTAAGTGAAACACAATTGTCCAAAAACATAAGCAATGCAACAACAACAACAAAAGCTTTGACATTTCACAAACATGCAGCAAGGAAAGCGAAATTCCCATCAAGATAATGCAATTAGGAGAATCCATAGCCAGATTGATACAACGAATAACTAGTAAACACCAATGCATGTGAAAGTTCACTTCTTTCGAATTTTAAGTAATCCAACGCCACAATAGAGATCAAATTTGAGTCTTAATTCATCAAGGAACAAACAGGATTGGAAGAAATCATCCACAAAACAAGTCATAATTTTTCATTTTTTGTTAAACGAAATCAGAAGCAAAAAACCCAGAAACCTTGTGGATCGGAGCTGGATCGGAGAGAGATTTCTCGAGGAGGTCAAGATCATCGAGCATTGCTTTGAATTCAACCTCCATTTCAGCTCTCTTAAGATCAGAAAAAGAGCCGAAAACGGATTATGGTAGATCGGACTGCGAAATCTGCGATGCTGGTTTGAGGAATCGAACGGATTTGGGGAAGTGTACAGTACACAAAAGGTTTTTTAAGACAAAAACGTTATTAATTTTCACACACAAAAAAAAAAAAAGTGTTGACTAAATAAAGAACAAAAAAAAAAAAGTTGACCGAGAAAAGAAGGAAAGAACATAAAAAAAAATTAGCCGATCTGCTTCAAAATCGTATACCAAACTGGGCCTTACATAGAGCCCATTAACAAAAATAAAACGAAGTAAGAAAAAAACATGTGAGAAACCGGTTTACAAAACAACCAATAAACCGGTTCCAGTGGAATCCGCCACATATCCAACAAACGGGAACCTGATTTTGGTCGCACACCGTAAACATAGGGGGAGAAGAAGAAGAAGCAAAAAGATGTGCTTTTTTCTTCATCCAGATCGAGATTGATCAAATCCATTTTCAACTTTAGACCCAAATGTTCATCTTCTCACCAATCTTCATCATTTGATTTTTCTTATCTCGTCGAATCAGAGAACCAATTCCGGTACAAAAGCTAGCTGCATCTGAAATTTCGCATTTTGTCGGGTTCATTGATTCGTAGCATGCGAAAGGAAGATGGGTTCTGTAAAACGTGCTTCTTCTAAGAATCCTGCGATCTCAGGTACATTTTTCGTTCCTAAAGTTTGAAACTTTTAGGGTTTTTTTTCCCTTTTTTTGTAATTGTCGATGCA